CTTCCATCATCCCTGCTTAGCTTCCATCATCCCTGCTTAGCTTCCATGGAAAGATGGAAAGCACACAGAAAATATGGATATTGTATGTCATTGTGTTGTGTTTGAATTTTATGATTGCTGAGGAAGAAACAGCTGCTAAAAGACAATTGATTATAAATGCTGCTGGACTAATCCAACTTATATATTTTTAAACATCTTGATTTTAAATTTTAAGTCAAAAGGTATGCTTCTTTGGAGAAGAGGTTTTGCTTTTGTTTCCACAGGAAATGATAGCCCATGGATTCATTTTCGGTTAAGAAAAATAAGGTTTAATTTATTGTGGATTCTTTCTAGGTTAAGAAAAAGAATGTTTTATCAAAAAACATTCTCTGAAATGTCTTCAGTAGGGGCAGTTGTCCCATGAGATTATCAGTCCCCCCAGTCTGCAGGAAGTAGTCCAGAAAACTTTTCTACATTCCCAAAAACGGATTATGGATATTTGTCATTGTTTAATGTGTTTTTTACAAGTTGTTATGGATAATGATCAGGAAAAAAGTTAAACAAAGGAAATTAGATTCAAGACTATTGTATTGAAAAGAAAAAAAAGAGAGGGTATATATTTAATCTCGTTTTGAAAAGAAAAAAAAAGCCATGTGGTTTGGTGCATGCCTTTAATCCCAGCCCTTGGGAGGGGATGCAGAGTCAGCAGATCTCTATGAGTTTGAGATCATCCTGGTCTACAGAGCAAGTCCCAGGACCAACTTCATAGCTATTGAGAAACCCTGTCTCAAAAAAAAAACCCCACAAATCCCCAATAAATAAATAAATAAAAATTTAAAAATAGAGAGAAGGAAAAGTATAGCAATATAGATAGGATTGGATAAAAAGGTAGATTATTGAATCTACTTCAAAAAGCAACTACTAGCTTTAAATGTTTTACATTCGACTGAACTTTTGCATATTGTATAGAAATATTGTATATAAATACAAATTTGAAATTAATATTGTTAAAGCATGCTGTATATACATTTCAAATACTGTTCAATGTATTGTACCTATGTAACTCATTTAACAATGTAAGAAAATTTCTAGTCCTTGAAAATTATTATTACCAGCTATTTAGCATAAGAAGAAAGTGTAAGTTAGTAGTTAATCACTTAGTATAATCAAACTTGTAATTACATTAGATATGTTTTCATGGTCAAAAATATATATTTTAGATAGACAGATTGTATCATCAAAGACTTCAGAGATCTATAGAATATGTCATTTAAGATGTTTTAATAACCTCAGTTCTTTTTTTTTTTTAAATGACAATGAGACATGTCTCCTCCTGGCAGCACTAATCTACTTCATAGAGGATCATGGGCATCCAAGAAACTCCACATGACTTTTCTTTCCTTGTGACAAAAGTAAGCCCCTGGGCAAGAAAATGTCCCTGCCTCAACGACTGACAGTATTCTGTCCTAATTAGACAAGCAGGACACAAATTATTCTGCTTCACAGAAAAGTCTATCAGATATAATAGGCCTGTAGGTCAAAGATGGATGATATAACATTGCAGAGGAACTTTGTGTGACTGTCTAGGCAGCCGATGTTTCTGTCATTACCTACATTTTTGGAAGTCACGTGCTTGCACTTCCTTCTTACTCAGTTAATATTATTTTCTTCTTGAGTCTCTGAGGGAGTTGAAGATTAGATAACTATATTTATAGTTCACTAGATTCAGAAAGCACATTAGGATAGAAAGTAAATCAGGTAAAAGAATTTGGATTCCTCAAGGTAGGATAGACATAAAATATTTTCTCTGAAACTGTCAAATGCAAATGAACTAGACATTGTTGATGTATTTACTGTCTGTATATATTTTAGTTATTGTATATAATTTTTCATATATTAGTTATATACTTTTTTATTTTAGACAAAAAAGGGGAAATGTAGTGACACTTTATTTGTATTTTAATAAATAAAGCTAACTTGAAGATCTGAGAGTCAAACAGTCCCATTGGGCAGTCCTACACACCAAGTAGTAGTAACAGATACTTTTAATCCCAGTAGTGTCACTTGTTTTCCATACAACCTGGGAAGTACATATCTTTAATCCTAGTGGTGCACACATTTAATCCCAGTCCTTGAGAGGCTTCTAAAGTGGGGGGAGGCAGCTCTCTGACACAATCTCTTTCTGAGATCCCTTGATGCAGGATCACTATTTTTATACTGAGTTTAAGGTAAGAGCCAGTGGCTGGCTGTTTTGCATTTCAGTTCTTCATGTTGAACCCCAACTTCTCTCTCTGAATTTTTATTAATGGTTCTTCATTCTGTCTTCATGTGTCTTCCAGGGAGACCCTAAGAATGACTCATGGATCTTTGCCCTGGCTGTGCTTCTGAGCAGCACCTTTGTCTACAACAGCATGAAGGTCATCGACAACCTGACCCTGCAGCAGCTGCAGTATCCTTGCAGGACCTGAGTGACCATGTTTCACTGAGTGTTCTGAAATGCATATGGAGGCACTGACCTGCCCTGTCACTGTGTCACTTTGGTGGGCAGAGGAGACCCAGGGCAGCAAAAACTCTTTATTGTGATTTATTTTTAATAAGAGAATCATGAAAATGTGCATGTGAATTCACCTTTCCTTAACCCGGTACCAGTTACGTCACAGAACTCACTGAGCTGATCAGGGCAAAGTCTTCCCCAAATCCTGATGGAATAGAGAATTCCACAGAGTTTGTGAGTTTTTTTCCCAGACTTCGTCTGGGCTGTTCGGGATTTTACCCTGGAGCTGAAGTTAGATGGAGAGGGCGCCATGGAGGACAAGTACCTGGAGAACTCACTGAAGCTGATCCCAGGTAGAGGGAGGGCTGGGGTGGGGGTCTGGGAAGGGCTGGCATCTGTTGAGTTGCTCTCATCCACTGTGGGGTCCTTCTGTATTTGCCGTGGGATGGTGGTCTGCAGAAACAGTGAAAGGTCATTGGCTGGTAATGCCTGGGAACTGGAGTTTGATTTCTTTTGAGAAAAGTAGAACCTAGAACACTGCCAAATTATTCCAAACCAAGTCTTTACAGTTTGTACTTTAGCATCTAGAGTCTAAAACATCTAACCTTCATCAAGTCCAGACATTTGTCTTGTCTGTTTTGGGTCTGTCTTCCTTTAAGAAATATCTGGCTACATAATTCTTATTCATAAATGTGTCATGCATAGCCCATCTCTAAATCAATTTCACAGAGTTATACATTGTTTCACTCTTGCAAGAACAGAGGTTTTCAATGTTGAATTGGTTATGTTGTCCACAAATCAGCTCTATTCTAAGTATATTGACGGATGTAAATTTTTAGTCTATGCCATCATAATTCATCACAACATGCTGCAGTGTCAGGATCAGTTATATCATGGTCTATAAACTATTTGCATGGGTGTTATTCGCATGAATAACGTGACTTTACAAAGTGTTGAAGCCCATGAAGCCTTGTGAAGACTACCAATTCTGATCTGCTCAAAGTTTTTATTTTTCTGCCTTTGCTTTCTCAGAACATTAAAACATGGTAGTTAGGAAAGCTCTCTGTGAAACCTGTACTCACAGTCATAAAAGTGGATATGAAAAGGAAAGTATCCAGCCCAGGACACCCCAAGACCAAGCTCTCAGCACAAAGAAGAGACAAAGGGCAGGGGATGAGACAAACATGGGAGATAGAGGATGCATGAGAAGGGGAAGAGAAGGGAGAGGGGCACAGATATTGTTCCAGAGGACTAAGGACTGCCTCTGGATAGAGAGGAGACAATCATGGCACCTAGACAAAGGGCAGTTTACAAAATAAAAGAGCAAATTTTATGTAACGATGAGGTCTTTATTTTAATTGAGCATGTTAATTAGGTGAGCCAAGGGGCCTTTGTGTTGTTGAACTTCGATACTTCCAAAGCTGGACCTTGGTATTTGCTCTCAGGAGGATGAAATGGCATAATAAGGAAATAGACCTTGGTAGGTAGTTTTGAAAATGTAATCTAAAGACCTTTAGCAAGGCAGAGGGAATGGGGGAAAGGCAAAGCCTGCCAGAACCATGCTCACCACACTCAAGCTGGCCAGAGTCCCTTCGCTATAATGTATTATTACTGTTTATTTTTTAAACCAGGAATCAAATGTGGCCCTTAGTTGGCCTGGTGTTCATTGTGTATCCCAAACCAGGCTGGCCTAAAATTCACTATTTCTTTTGTATTTTCCTCCCATTTGAAGGCCACCACTCAGATTTTCTTTTCTTTTTTTTCCTTCCATTTCCTTCCCTTCCATTTCCTTCCCTCCCCTTTCCTTTCTGTTCCTTTCCTTTTTTCTTTCGTTCACAAATAACCAGACATGGGCAAACATGGATACACACACCACAAATGTTCACATGAGCAAAAGGGAGAAAATCCTCAGTTCAGGAGTTTCATAAATACTGTCTTGATGTTTTTCGTTAAATCTCTAGACTTGTGTATCCTACATATTTTCGTAGACCCTCCATCCTTCCTCAGTTATGAAGAACACATATTTTCTATGAGTGTATACTTAGCACTGACAAGAAATGAAGTCTTTTAAAGTCAAGGTAGTTTTCCTTTGCTAACCTTGGCATCATTTTGAGAATTGCTAATGCTGCCATTTTTACTACGTTTTAAAAAATCCTTTGTGGCTCTTTTTTGAGTCCCACAGGTCCTTCTCTACAAGGGGTGATTGGATTAAAAATCACACTTAGTCTTTTGTTGCTCAGGATACACAAGGAAAATGTGCTTGATGGCATACTCAGGTCTGTGGATATCAGCCATATGATTCTCCTGTGGAGTCAAATGTCTCTCGAACTATTTCACCAGATGTCTACCAAGTACAAACTTGGTATACTCTTGGTATACTTTTGACATACAAAGAAGTGTTGCATGTTTATGGTAGAGACGTGTGAGTCCAGAACACTTCACAGAGACAAGGGCCTCCGTCATTTGCTCTCTGCTCTGAGACTACCCGTATGGCTTTGTGTTTCCCTTAACACTAGGTGACACTCCTGGAATCCAAGCAACCAATCTGCTCAGGGAGTGCATCAGATGTTTCTTCCCTAAACGGAAGTGTTTTGCCTTTGACCAACCAACATATGACAAAGCACTCTTAGCCAAGCTTGATACTATCTCAGAAGAACAACTGAATCCTTTGTTCCTGGAATGAATGAGGGCTTTTGTGTCTCACATCTTCACCCATGGAAAGATCAAGACTCTCAGAGAGGGAATTAAGGTCACTGGGAATCGTGAGTGATTTTTTTTAACACACTTCTGCATAGAGTAGTATATGTTGAAATTAGTATGTGTATTTTTAAAATTTATCTATACAATGATAATATGCTTGTGTCCATCCTCACAACATGTAAAACCTATATGTTTTATAGTTGACTGTAGATTACATATCCTTCTTTAAAAATGCAGACTTCATCACTGGTATCTATAGCTCTAGCACACGTATATGAAATTCTCTGGTGCGGGATAATTGTCTGTAATCTGTTAATCATATTTTAAATAAATGATGATTGGCCAGGCAGGAAGTATAGGTGGGAATACCAGACAGGAAGTAGAGGTGATACAATGAGAACAGGAGAATTCTGGGAAGCAGGAAGCTCCCTCCGTCATTCCTGCCCAGATCACTGAAGAAGCAACATGTGAGCTTACAGCCGAAAAAGGTACCAAGCCATATGGCTAACACAGACAAGAATAATGGGTTAATATAAGTTATAAGAGTTAACAAGAAGCCTGAGCTAATGGGCCAATGAGTTTATAACCTAATGTAGACTTTGTGTGATTTTCTTTGGGACTTGCCGGCTGTGGGGTACCGGGAGGGACAGATACACCAACGAGCCGGCCCTCATGTTACAATTCTCAACTGATAATAAAATCACAAGTGAAAATATACTTGATCATCTATAAAATGGAGTGTTTAAACTGCTAAAGTTGATGTATTTTATTTTCAGAGGGAGTAATCTGTATTCTAATTATTCTTTGGGATGGCAATGTGAAATGTAATTTGAAAATTGAAATAGTTCCAACATAAGTACTAGTGTTTAAACTGTGTAAATCCATTCTTTTAAGATTTTCCTTGTTAGTTTATGTTAGTTTATCTATTTTAATGAATTTCAAGATTTAAGTGCAAAATTAAATTTTTTATAGATAATTGAATTTATTGCATGAAGATTGATATTAATTTTAACTAGAACTAGAAAACCATAAAACAAAGGGACAATCAAAAAAGAGATAATGTCTTGTAGGAAATTGTTTGTTTTTGTTTATGAGTGTGCATATATAGCTATGAAAGATTAGAACTATAATCTCAAAACTGGATTACATTCACTTATAACTTTATACTTTTCCCCTAAAACTCCTGGTACGTGAAGGACTGGGGACTCTGGTGACGACCTACGTGGATGCCATCAACAGTGGAGCTGTGCCTTGTCTGGATGATGCGGTGACAACTCTGGCCCAGCGTGAGAACTCAGCAGCTGTGCAGAAGGCAGCTGACCACTACAGTGAGCAGATGGCCCAGCGCCTGAGGCTCCCCACAAACACGCTCCAGGAGCTGCTGGATGTACACACAGCCTGTGAGAAGGAAGCCATTGCTGTCTTCATGGAGCACTCCTTCAAGGACGAAAACCAGCAATTCCAGAAGAAGCTGCTGGTAAGTGTCATTAACTGCCATACCTGTGTCCATTCATGGCTGTAGTGTTGCTGTGCCTTCATTGACCCTGGTTATATGACTCATTCAAAGATGAGCACTCTGTGTGTTATCATGAACACAACTGTGAAAGACTCATGTCCCCTTCCCAAACTTCAGGTGCTTCTTATATAGAAATCTCTAATGACTGGAATAATGAGTATATAGTTTCCTAAATCCTTCACACAGTTAATGTCTGTGGATTGCGATCCTGCCCACAACACCTGTAGCTCATCCCTGAACTTGCTACATTCTTCTGTTCCTACGAAACAGTTTTGTCTCACAAGAGGCCCGCTGCAGGCCACTGTTCTTCTATTGCTCCTTGTCATATCTTCGTGTCATTGAAGACAGAAATACAGGATGGGACCCCAATAGGAACCAGAGATTTTAGCATGCAGAACTCTCATTTTATAGAAGGTCTTGAGGACTAGGAACATTGGGAACATTTACTGTGGCCTTGTACAGATTTCTTAGAATCTTAATTCAGGTTTAAGAGTTTCACGTTCACTTGTGGTCTTATTACACTAGAATACTTTCTTGAGGGTAATAGGCTGACTCTTCTACAAAGGTTCTTGGAACTTTATCCCTTCTGTTCCTTCAACGTGTCAGATCTCTGTCCATTTCCCTTGTAGGAATTAATAGATGAGAAGAAAAGGATGTTCATGTTGAAGAATGAAGAAGCATCAGATCAATACTGCCAAGAAGAACTCAATCGGCTTTCAAAGGCTTTTATGGAAAATATTCCAACATTTTCTGTTCCTGGAGGACACAAGCTCTACATGGAAATGAGGGAGAAGATTGAGCATGACTATTTACAGGTGCCCTGGAAAGGGGTGAAGGTGAGGAGCAGGGAGCATGGGGAAGGAGTGAGGAGAAGGGAACATGGGGAAGACATGAGGTACAGGGCACATGGATGCTCATAGCAGAGGAAGGATGGTGTCATAAAACAGAAGCATACATCACTTCCTAAGAGGAATAAGAACACATGGATACCATGACATGTCTAGCTTCATGTTGTAGTTGGTGACAAAAACAGGGCGTTGCAGTGCAAGAAAGTACTTTACCCTCAAGCCCCATCCCCTGAATTGTGCTTGACTGAAATGGCTGCTATTTACTGTTAATTCTGAGAAATATTCATATAAAAATTCTGAGTAAAGAGTTTCAAGTTTGTCAGGATGGTCTACCTATGAGCTCCTAATAAATGTAAGAACAGCTAACATATTACTCAGTTGTTGCCATTGACACCACCATGGTGTGTTCTTTCCTCAGTCCTTTCTTTAGTTAAGTAAAATGATTTGGGTGATGCTCCCCACTACTGGGAGAGTTCGCACATGTGTACCTTGAAGTCCAGGCAGTTAGAAGTACTTGACCATGAATAGAGCCAACAAGAACAGAAAAAGTGAAGCCCACCCCAGTTATGTAGCATTGTGCATGGGGATAAAATATTTGAAAACATCATAAGTTACAGTGCCCAAATCTGCACATGATGTAGACAGGAGTGATCTGGGAACAGGTGATGGCAGGTGGCCCTAGCAGGGATGACAAGGGGAGCCATGAACCCAGAAATATTCTTGTGCCACCAAAGAGCAGGGCAGTCTGCAGGCCTCACCATAGCATTTGACAGTGAGGCACAGTGGAGACTGTGTTAACTCACACAGGTTCTAACCCAAGATGCCTCAAAATCTTTGCTTTTTCTTGGTCTTGCAGGCAAGTGAAGTCTTCCAGAGCTTTCTGCAGTCACAAGCCACCATTGAGAGTTCCATCCTGCAGACAGATACAGCCCTAACTGCTGGAGAGAAGGCCGTTGCAGGTACAGGAACATGTCTCTTGGCTTTCAGCAGGGGTTAGGTTCCCACAAGGCTTCCTGATAGAGGCCACAGTAAACCCATTCCCAGATTAGCAGCTGTCTACCCTTCTGTGGAAGCTCACTCTGCAAGCAACAGGAGTCTGTGTTTCATCCAGATGGGCAGGGTCTCCTCATCCCCTCCAGGAACACTCTGTCCATTGAGTGGGTCAGTGTGGAGTCTGTGGTTTCATTTCAGATCTGAATTGCTCTCTGGGTTTTGGAATGTAGACATTTTACTTAACCCATCATTCCTCTCCCCCACCATCCATTCTCATTCTCCCATTACTTTCTTCCCTCCCTGAATCTCCCTGGGGCAGAGGAGCGGGCACAGAAGGAGGCAGCTGAGAAGGAACAGGAGCTGCTAAGACAGAAGCAGGAGGAACAGCAGTAGGTGATGAAGGCTCAAGAGAGAAGTCACAAGGAAAACCTTGAGCAGCTGAGAACGAAGCTGATCCAGGAGCATGAACAGCTCATCAAGGAAAATAAAATAATGCTGGAGAAGGCAGTGCAGGTAGGACTCCTCCTCCCCCTGGTGCTTGTCATATCCTGGTCATCAGGAGAAATTATGTAGCTTGCTCATGAGTGGAAGCACCTCCCAAAGGTATTGTTGCTAAGGAGGTTTTCCCCTCAGGTTTTCAGTTGCTCTTTTAGGGTTTTAATGACTGCAATATTTCGATACATAAATTCAGAATATTTAAAAACAAACTCAGGGGTACTCACTGAATAGCTCCCAACCAGGCAGCTTAATAAGGACAGCAATGGGTCTGGGTTATCAAGGCCTGTTGGCACCGTACTTTCCTGTGAATACCCATACCCGATTTATGTGCGTGCTTTCCCGAACCGAGTTCATGAGAATGGATTAATATCCTAAGGGTTGAAGCACAAAGACACAAGGAGACCTGCTCATTCACCAAAGAGTAAATGGCAACTTTATTAAACTCAAGTCGGGTATAAATACTAAGGGACTTAGGGGGCAAAAGGGCAAAGCCCCCTCCCATCAGGAGCAGTGGAAGAGGATGACAGGTGCCTGGCGCCCCAGGCCATAAGCAGCCGGGGGAGGCAGGCGTGGCTGGCGTATAGGGCCCGTGGCTGGAACCTTGTTTACAGGTGGAATTACCATAACAAGAGTGGGCCAAGTTATTTCTAAGCTAAACCCTCAAGCCAGTGCAAGAGCAAAAAGGCCAGGGAGCCAAAGGTAAAACGGCCCTGCAAATCGCCACAAAATAAAGGGAAAAAGACCTGGGTACCAACAAAGGCCCACATTATCAGCACCTGACACCCACGCTCCCACTCTGAGAATGACCTATGCTGACAAAAACTGAAAGAAATATCCGGGCTGCAAAGAGCAGATAATTGGCCTCTTCTGCAGGTCCTGTAGCTGTCTGCAGAGTGCACAGCCTGCTTGAAGCAGAACATGGCAGGAGAGTGATTCTCTCATTGTCCAACTACAAACAAAATGGTAACAGGTTTGTAAAACAACTGATTGGTTGCCACTGTCTGTATGATGTGGTTTCCAAACTGTCTCAGTGGATTAGGCTCCAAACAATCTGACCAATTGCATCTCAGTGGGCATGAGTGCGGGAATGTCTTCATACCTCTGCCAGCATTACAATCAAACAGACATGGTGGGTCAACCCCAATGGAGTTTCCACTATTTTTTCTCACAATGTGTAGGATTAACTCAGAGAACCTTCTTCATGGAAAGGGAAATAATTTAGGGCTATACAAAGGACCACTTGCCAAATGTTTGAAACTATAACTTGTACAATGTTGGGATTTTACAATATTTTCTTTTCTCTCATGTTCACCATTTTTAGCATCAAAAGACTTTGTGTGAAGAAGGATTTATGAAGGAATCTGAGAAAATGAAAGGAGAGATACAGCGACTGAGATCTACTGTCAATGACATGAAAGAAAACAGTGGTGCCTTTGTAGATCACCTTCTAAAAACATTTGCTGCCCCTTTTTTACTGCCCGTGATGGCTATAAAAAGCATTATTTCAGCATTTAAATAGGGTTCACTCTTATTTTGATGAAGTGATAGACCATGAATATATACTCTCCCGTTTTATACTCTTCATGTTTTCATTTTCGTTCAGCAAATTTCAGCATTAAAAGTGCTAATTAGAGGACATAGATGCCTGCCCCACATTAGATAGAACATATACATGTCTGCACAGAAAATACTTTCTTTCAGGGCACAAATGTTTAACCATTCCTATAGAAGCTATGTGATTACTCATTGTACATTGTTACAATGACTGTTGGTCAACTTGACTGGATAGAAAATCACCCAGGACACAATCTCTTCTGCACCCTCTTCTGCACCCATCTTGACTAGGTTAGCTTTTGGGGACTCATCTCTAGTCACTATGGTAGGAAACCCATCCCAAATGTGGGCACCACCATTTCTGTGTCCTGCAGACACAGTTAATAGGTGAAAGCAAGCTGGACACTAACATGTACCACTTGTTACTTCCTGACTGGACGTCATGTGATCAGCCAGCCTCTGCTTCTTACTGCTTGCCTTCCCTGCCATGTTAAGTGTACCATCTGAAAGCATGAACCGGAATAAACCCTGTGTTTCTTAAGTTGCTTTTGTTGAACCGTTTTGTCACCTAGAAGAAAAGGCATTGATATCATTGGTGGTAAATCTGGAAACTACTTAAGCATCATTGAGAAAGATTGGTAACAAATTGTAAGATGTCCTGATCCTTGATTGCTGTATAGTCAAGAAACAAGTGTCAGACAGGCTTCCTGTATACTAATGTAAGTTGATCATAAAGATTTCTTATTAAATAAAGTGAAAACTCCACATAGCAGTGTAATTCATTTTTTAAATTGTTGTATTCCATGCACATGTACAGGAGCACAGATCAAATGTCTTCCAGAAAATTAATGTAAAATGTCATATTTTGGCTCCCACTATGGAGAACAAGGTGGAATCAGAAGTTGAAGGGACTCATGCATTTCCTTATTACTCAGTCCCATAGGTTTCTTGAAGAATACTGGGTAAAATGACATATTCACATTTTAGAAAAGTGATAGTAAGTTAAAATTCACTATTACATGGTGAAACTTCACTTTCCTGAAATAGGAGAAGCTTTTCGAAGGCAACTAAGATGAGAACCTGAGTGCTAGGAAGCATAACATTTGCATCTTAATGCTGTTTTTTCTCCCTTGTGACTTTTAAATAGTAATGTAAAGAATATATCTTATGTAACTCAATATAAAAACATATTTCCACTGGCTATCGTCATAATTAATGCATGTGGTTTTTATTATGTTTATTTATTTGCAAAGTAAGAGAGGAATTGCATTTAAAGAGTCATCACAGAGTAGAATATAAAAGGTGGACAGCTCAGAGATACCTCAGTGGTCAAGAATAGTGCACATTGATCTTACAGAGAAGCTCAGTTCACATCATCCACCTGGGGTGGCTCACAAATCCCTGTGATCCCGCTCCAAGGGATCTGACTTCCTTTTCTGGCCCCATAGGTCACCAGCAATCCCATCACATATCCATGGCTCCACACTCACTTTCATCAGCCATTCCTTTCACACTCAAGGCAGTCCCAAACTTGCCAAAGAGATCCTTGAGGTGCTCATCATTCATGTCTTCTCCAAAGTTCTTGATGAAATGTTGGTGAACTCTTTTGTATAGATGAACTTGTGCCCAGCAAATGATCAAATAGTGCTGAACTATGGAAGCTAAATCCCAAATTTCTAACAGATGGGAGCAAACTACAGTGAGACATTTACAGCAAGTAACAGTCACTTTATTCACAAGGCAATAATTCCAATACATCTTGTAACTTGGCCTAATTCTCCATACAAAGTCCTTGGCTTTGTGTTGACCTTGTGAAATGAGACAAATTAATTACTTTATAATGCTGTAGCTTGTAGCAATAAAAGGGTTTCTAGTCCCTCCATCCTGGAGCCAACAACAGAATCATAGTTCATGCCTCTCATTACAGGCCATGGTAGAGAAACATATCCCTTGTCTGCAGCATGGCAGACTCCTGAGGTCTCTCATCGCTATTGTATAAAGAGGCTGCTCCCAGCCAGTCACTGCCTGTGGACTTGAGGGCAGCTTCAGATTGCATGGTGAGTTCCTGCAGACTCCTAAAAGGGTCTCTGTAGAAAGCCTTTTAGCTGATGTCTCTGGAAAGGAGGCATGATACCCGTTGCTACCTCCACCATGTTGGAAAGCCTAACTAGGTGGAACCAACAGCCAAAGCTGTCACATTGGTCCTAGCCATGCCTGCTTAGCAGTTTAAATCAGTGGTCAGAAAAGAATTACAGATACACAATGAAGACAGATTCAGACAAACAGAAATCTCTAATTGGGTCACAGTATGTTTACATATGTATGTAGGCTTGAGAGAGAGAGAGAAAACAAGAGACAAAATTTTGTATAATGTGGCAAGGTTAACCGTTTGATTAAGAAACTGCAGTTGCCTGGGCTACTTGAAAATATTCTGTATAAAATGGACTTGCAGGACCCACAAGAAAAGGATGGGTGAATTTGCTAAAACAAGGTGTAACAGTCCTTGACGGTCCCTGCTTTATGAAAGGGTCTGCTAGACATTCTGCAGGACACAGAAGAAAACGACTGAAACATTTTTCCAAAATTGGCCAGACAGTCCTTCAAATTTTCTGTTTCACTGAAAAATCTGTGAGATAATCTAGGCCTGTAGGAGGAAGATGGATGCCCCAACATTAGAGCAGAACTTTGAATGAATGTCCAGCTAGCCAGATACCTCTGTGATTTCTAGAAGAGAAATTGAAAGATAGTTTCTGCACAAGTTTTTATGTTACCTGGAAAGTGAGAAAGAAGGCAGGAAACTGAAATACTGAAGAGAAGTGAAGGAAAAGAGAACTTTGTCTAAAGTAAAAATGCCTAAGGAATCAAAGAAAGGGACTAAAGGTATATAGAAAGTTGTAGAAGGCCAGATGTGAACTACATTTTCTGTGGTTTCTCATATCTGCAAAAACTAAATTTAAAAAGACCATAAAATAAGTTAAAAATTTGATCATATTAGGTTAATTCTGGGGAAAAGTTTTATTTGTCTTGTTAATAAGTTTTGTCTGGCTTTTGAGAAATTGTGTGGTTTGTTTGATTGGAAAGTTTGTGTTTCTGGGGAGCTCATAGTTTTTCTTGCAAGCATGGATCTGAGACAAAAACGGTTTGGATATTTTTGCTGCCTCCACAGATCACCAGCCAGTCAACTGCCACTGTGGCCACATTTTTGGGCATGACTCAGAATTTATCTCTGATATCTGGTCACTAGATTTAGCAGGAATTCAGATTTTTTATGTAGATAGAATTAAAACTGTCTTATGCTATTCTTTATTAAATTTCTAGCTCTAGAGTTGAGTTATGGCTCTTCTTTCACGAGAGGCAGGCATGCTTATTTGAAAGTTTTCTCTGTGCTGCTCTGTCAGCCTGAGCCCCTGACACAGTGACAAAGAGAAGAACACAAAACAGAATAGACAAAAAATTTGACTTAATTTTTGTGAACAATCTCTACTTTAAAGTTAATAAGTTTATTTTGTTAGATATGATTAAAAATCTGTCAAAATTAGAACAAGTTAAACAGTTAAAACTAGTAACACTGGAAATTGATAATTTGAAATCTATGCATGGTTAATTTAAAGGAACTATATGACATCATTACAATTGAAAAACCACCTCATTGGCACTAACTAAACAAACTCCCAACCAGGCAGCTTAATAAGAACAGCAATGGACCTGGGTTATCAAGGCCCACATTATCAGGCACCTGACACCTACCCTCCCACTCTGAGAATGATCAATGCTGACATAAAACTGAAAGAAATATCCAGACTGAAAAGAGCAGATAATTGTCAGCTCCTGCAGGTCCTGTAGCTGTCTCCAGAGTGCACAGCCTGCTTGAAGCAGCACTTGTCAGGAGAATGATTCTCTCATTGCCCAACTACAAGCAAAATGGTAGCAGATTTCTAAAACAACTGATTGGTTGCCACTGTCTGTATGATGTGGTTGCCACACTGTCTCAGTGGATTGAGTTCCACCCAACCAGACCAGTTGCATTTCAGTGGGCATGAGTGCAGGAATGTCTTCACACCTCTGCCAGGATTACAACCAAACAGACATGGTGTATCAACCCCAATGAAGTTTCCACTATCCTTCTTTACAGTGTGTAGGTCTAACTCAGAGGCTCTTCTTCATGGAAAGGGAAATCACTTAATGGGCACACTAAGGACCAGTTTCTGAAAATTTGAAATTATAACTCATGCAATGTTGGAATTTGACAATATTTACTCCACTCTCGTGTTCACCATTTTAGCATCAAAAGAATTGTCTTGAAGAAGAATTTAAGAAGAAATCTGAGGAAATGTATGGAGAAATACAGCGGTTGAACTCTAACATCGAGGTTAACAGTGGTTCCATTATGCACAGTATTATAAAAGAATTTGCTACAGCAGTTTGTTCTCCTATTTTATTTCCTGTATAGGTTGCACAATGCATTATTTCACTATTTGAATAGAATTTATTTATCTTTTGATGCAATGATAGACTCTGAATATATACTCAGTCTTTTTATGAAGCTTCATATTTTCATTTTTGTTTCACAAATATCAACAGAAAAATTACTAGTTAGAGGACATCTGTGCATGGCCCACATTAGATAGACCATATAGATGTTTGCACAGACAATGGGGCTTTTTTAAGACAAATTTTTGTTTGTTTTGTTTTTCAAGACAGGGTTTCTCTGCAACTTTGGTGCCTGTCCTGGAACTGGCTCTTCTAGACCCAGCTGGCCTCGAACTGACAGAGATCTGCCTGTAGGGCACAATTTTTTTTAAAGGCATTCCTGTGGAAGCTATGTGATTACTCATTGCACACTGTCACAGTTACTGTTGGTTAACTTTACTGGATATAGAATCACCCAGGACACAAGCTCTTTTGCACCCTGTGAGGACCATCTCTGCTAGGTTAGCTTGTGGGGCATCACAAGGTCACCTGCACCCTGTGAGAACCATCTCAGCTAGGATGGCTTGTGGGGTGATCATCTCAGGTTATTATGGTAGGAAACCCACCCCAAGTGTGTGCAACTCCATTCCTGTGGACTGGGGACCTAGCTAAAATGTGAAAGCAAGCTGGGCACTAACATCCATCACTTGTGGCTTCCTGATTGTGGATGCCATGTAGCCAGCCAACCTCTACTCCTTTCTCTGTGCCTTCTCTACCATGCTCCATGTAACATCTGGAACCATGAATGAGAACAAACTCTTTCTTAAGTTGCTTTTTTGTGGCATTTTGTCTCAGCTAGAAAAAATGTCATTGTTAATAAATCTGGAGATCACTTAAGCATCATCGAATAATATTGATAACAAATTTTGATATGTCTTGAACCTGGAGTACTATATAGTCAAGAAAGAAAAGACATTTTAACTTCCTGTATACTAATGTAAATTGAGTTTAAAGCTATCTTATAAAATAATGTGAAAACACCACATAATAGTATGATTGCTATAAAAATGCTACTATCCCAGTCAAATGCACAGGAACACAGATAAAGTGCCTCTGTAAGATTAATGAAAAAGTGATCCTTTCTCTTCATGTAGGGAAAAAAATTGGAATCAAAAGTTGAAGGAACACAAGCATTTTATTATGTACTCAGTCAAAGGATTTATGAACAATACTGGGAAAACATGATACATTTGCATTTTAAAATAGTGACTAAGTTCAAATTCACTATTACATGATGACATTTTGCTTTCTGGAAATGAAAGAAGCTTTTAGAAGGCAACCAAGATGAGGATCTG